GAGATTATGTTCCTGACTATAATTGTATCCTATTTGTTGCCCCTCTCCCTGTGTTACGCTGTTCCTCTAGGTCAGTGAAAGTGAAGGAAGTGATGTGGCGATTCAGGGATCAGCAGCAAAAAGGCAGGGAGGAATAGGAGTTAGAGAAGATTGGAGGGATAGAGATCTGGAGCGAGGAGAGTGGAGGGAGAGTGAAGAGGAGGAGAGAGGAAGAGCAGAGTGAAGAGGGAGAAAAGAGTGGAAGGAGAGGAACATGAGGGAGAGCACGAAGTAGAGGAAGAGCACACCCGAGAGGGGAACCTACGTTTCCGTGGCGTGTGTCTGCCCTAAGTCCCACCATTCACCCTTGTACCACACAGCCTGGGCCTAAAGTGACAGTGGCAGGGGTTTTGGAGTTGTTTTTAAAAATGGTAGGAACTTATGTTCCAGAGCATGTAATGGATTACAACAAGAAAATGGGCGGGGTTGACCAGCTTGAACAACTGAGGAGCTATTACAATGTTGGACGCACAGGCAGAAAACGGTGGAAGTATGTGTTTTGGGGGATGCTCAACATTGCCATCATAAATGCGTACATTGTGTGGGGGACCCTGCAAAGTCCCCTTCCTAGAAACAGTAGGCGCTGGGGGCATTCAAAATGCAGTTTGTGCATTCACTTTGTGATACGGCTACAGTGGCAGGAAAAGGGGAGCAAAGAGCATGGCACCAGGGTGTGTGGACCGAGTCGTAAATCATTTGAAAGCAGGTTAAGTTTGAAGGGCACAAGAGAGGGTGTGTGGTGTGCATCGGGAGTGGAAGCTGAGCAAAGAGTGGGAGATGAGTAGAAACCCCTTTGGGTGCTCTATGTGTTACGTGCCACTTTGCAGGATGGGGCCGTGCTTCCAGAAGTTCCATGACATGTTGTAGGCTAAATGCAAACACTAAAGTGACAGCGTGAAATATGAATTTGTCCTACAAATCTTTTATTGTCTTTGAACAGTTGTGTTTTGTATCTTCTCTCTATCTAATACTTGTTGCGTTCACTGAATTGTTGTCAAAGTAGGCTACTATTTCTACATTGTGTCAGGCCTGGTCTGTACTAAATCTTATTGAGAGGTTACCTACATTTTGAAATAGTCTGAATAGTTGTTTAAATGTTCACATTGTTACAGAAGTAAGAATCGTTGTCAAATAGCCTACTTTGTGTGGGTTTTGAAATACTTCCTGAATATTGTCCTCTGGTCACATTTTGGATTATATTGTGGAAAATAATCACTATACTTTATTAAAAATCAAAGTTCTTTCAAAGCTTCTGTAGAATCAAGAATGACTTTATTACAATCAACTAAATCAGGCTAATCTGCAGATTAGGGCCCCTCTCTCTTTTTGCTCCCCCTCTATATAGTCCCATTCTCATCCCTTCTAGCGCAAAACCCCTCCCTCTTCAGTTTCCCGCTCTTTATTGCTCCGCCCACTTCCTTTGTCTGTGATGGCGGCTAAATTCGACTTTCATTCAGTTCAGAATCAATAGTAATACAATCAATCCCTTATCTTGCAAAAACACTCATGTTTAGTTTAAACTCTGTTCAACCCCGGCTCTCCCGGGCTTGACCTGAAGACTGATTGTTGGACATGACAGGTCCATACTTAAATCTTTCAAACATACACAAAACCCCACCACATCATGCTGTAATCAATCAAGAAGATAGCCAAGGAGAGACAAAGGTTTAGCCTGAACTCTGCTCAACCCTGGCCACTTATTCCACTTTGTTTGAGGAGAGAAGTAAAAGGCCACAATCTGGTTTCAGTCTTTCATAAAGTAGGACAGCCATGGATTTAAGTAAGAGCGAGCAATTCGACCCTAGGTCAGATTCCCACTTTACCCACACACACACACACACACAGTGAAATGACCCAATTGAGTTCCTGGCCCAGCAACAAAGAATTCTAACTCTGTTCGTGATTACCCCAGTTTTCTCATAGTCCACTAAAAAATATCCATCAAAATACATTTTTTTATTTATGTAAAAATATGTATAAGATAATAGATTACACTTGGTACTTTAAGTGGGTAATTTAGTCAAATGTACTATAATTTCAATACTCTAGGGTTTTTTTGTTGGGTTGAGTGTTAGTTTTTTTTTATAGTGAGTGTCTTTACACAATGAAGACAAAATGAGTGTTATTCCTATTGACATGAACGTCATATTAAAGTAAAGGCTGTGCGCTTTAAAATTAAGTTAACTTGTCCTTTGTTTTTGAGCTGTCTGTTTGAAATGTGTGCCAAAATTAGCTTGATCTTAAATTCTCAGTAATCTACAGCAGCATTCTAGAATTATATTGGGGTCTAAAGAAGGGTTTTTAAGCCTTGAGACATTGATTGTATGTGTGCCATTCAGAGGGTGAATAGGCAAGACAAAAGATTTAAGTGCCTTTGAACGGGGCATGGTAGTAGGTGCCAGGCTCACTGGTTTGTGTCAAGAACTGCAACTTGGCTGGGTTTTTCACGCTCAACAGTTTCCCGTGTGTATCAAAAATGGTCCACCACCCAACTTGACACAACTGTGGGAAGTATTGGAGTCAACATGGGCCAGCATCCCTGTGGCATGCTTTTGACACCTTGTAGAGTCCATGCCTGACGAATTGAGGCTGTTCAACTCAATATTAGGAAGGTGTTCCTAATGTTTTGTACACTGTGTACAGTCCCCTACTAAAATGTAATCAAAATCTGCTTTTACTAGTTGTATTTGCTACTTTTGACACAATTGTTAATGGATAAGGTGGAACAAAGGCCCATATACAGTCCACAATGGCAGGCCCTGTGACAAGTCTGTACATGAGCTCTATCAGCTTATCACAGAAAAGTAGGGGCAAATAGAAGGCAGAGTGTGACCTGCGGTCTAATACAGAAGTAGTGTGAGATTATTCTAAACCAACAATATATAAAAGGTAACAAACCACCACTCACCTTGCAAAATCAACCCATTTCTCAATGATCTTTTTGGGGGAAAGTCTCCTGCAGATGATGCCCACAAAATCAGGCTGCATAGAGTGATGAAAGGTATATAAGAGGAGAAGCAAAAGCTTTATTACTGACATGCTAAACAGAGGATAGTTTGCCCAATTTGTTAAGAGTCAATGTAATCTTAGTCAGAATTTACTACTTAGGACCCATAGGGCAAGTAATCTCACAAAACATGTTTCAGAAAGAAACCAGCCGTCAAAGGATTTGATAACAAATAGTGTGAGTGATTTAGGTCTAAGTGTTGTTGGACAACAAAACCATAACTCTTGGCGAGGTATCAGGTACTAGCGGCTAACTAACACAGTCTCCAGACCTGGCAAACATGCTTCATCATCCTGACCACCAAAACATTATACATAGATCCTATAACTGGATCATATGAAAATATTCTGAGGCCCAATGGGGCACTCACACTGGAACTTAGGCTTACTAGTGTTTTAAAGATGCATCTTTCCTACAATGGCCGAAGATGTAACATAAATTTCACAAAACACCATGCAGAGAGAACGGTCTCTAAGTGTGTCATTGGAGCATGTGTCGATACTGACAGGATCGAATGGGAGCGCTGCTCTCGGATCAGCTTTCTCCATTCAAATCTTACCTTTACATTATTTCACAATACTGACGAAGCATCGGCTCCTAGAGCAGGGTTCCCCAACTGGCAGCCCGAATTTGGCCCCCGGGTGATTTTCTTTATTTTTATGTATCGGACAGAAGACTAAAAACACCAGAAAATCATCTCCAAGTGCTTTTAATTTAGGAAATCTATTCCAAAGTATTCACACACATAGATGTTTGAAATGATTATGGTTTAGTCAAATGTTATATCTGTTTGGGCTTCTTGCGATCAATTTGCAGTCTACAAATTATTTGTAATTATTTTCCACCCCCCTGACCAGCCGCCATAAAAAAAGAATCTGCCCGCGGCTGAATCTAATTGATGATCCCTGTCCTAGAGAGATATTACCACCTACAGCTGCAAATATTGAGGCGGCTTATTCTAATGCTTACCCAATAATGCACTAAATCGCAGATTTGGCACATCATTGCGCCCGTTAGGCTACACATCATGTAATATATTGACACAAATTACAGACGGTAGCCTACAAGTTCCAAAATAGAACTAGATTGAACATGAAATGCATTTCAATATGATTAACATAAGCCAATAGCCTACTGCTTATATTTTAACGCAGTCATCTCGGTATTCATTTGAAGCATCTTTTTATACATCGCTTGTTTGTATCAATTGCAAAGAAAATGGCAACTTTGTAGTCGTAGTCAACTTTGTTCTGAAGTTATCGGCAGTCACAGAGAGATGGATAAACCATACAATTCTATATTTAGCAGAGATCTTCTGTGAATAAAGTGACTTGGGAGGGCAAAAAAAAGCATGTAATGACACACTTAGCTGTTCTGGTCCGAGGCAGGCATTCAATTACGATGTGCATACAGCACATCAGTGGTTAATATAAGGATACACACTGGGCTCTAGTAAAAGTCATGGGGCCAGCAGACTGCACCGATAATAATGGTTTTGTCCATCTCACGTGTTTTGTTTTTCTTTTAGCTCGCATGAGTGGTGCAAGATCTGGAATCTGTTAATCGGGAGTGACACCGCATTTCACTGCACTGGTGGGCTAGTGTTCATGTTAGTGTATGCTAGAGTGTCTATAGATATATTTGGAGAGCACCCAGGAAACGATACTACTGCACAAATAAATGAATCAGATGTTTCTTGTAATACTTATAATCCAAACTAAAAGTATGTGTTTGCAAGGCAAGCAGTATATTTTGAGAAGAACACACTGGTCAAAGGCTCCAGGCTGAAACGTTGAGTTCATGTGCTGGTGGGCACGTTTAGTGTGAAAATAAATGAGTTCTCTGAGTGTGCTTTCCCTCTTCAAATTATAATACTGCCCTGTAATAATACCACGCGTGTTCCTTTTCTCAGTCTATTAGCAATTAATGACTAGAAGGTCGATGAGAGACATACATTTTCTTCATGCAGGGCAAGGTGGTGTGTGGCCAACATCCGGATCCCCAGGCGGGAGGTGAGGGTGGTGTCCAGGAAGTTACGGACAAGGGTCTCATCCTGGAACATCAATAAAAACATTCTTAAGGCCAGGTATTTATTACACCATTCTGTCAATCCTACGGTCACATTACAAAACAAAGAGTTCCAACAACCAACTTATAACCAATTTATATAAAGATCTACAACCTCAAGTTGGATTCCATTTAACTGGCAGCAGCAAGACTATAAAACAGCTGTTCAAGTGGAAAGTCAATGACTTGAAATCAGCTGACGTTATATGCACTACGTACATGGCCATTACCTGAATGTGTCGCCGACACTCTCTGAAGCCTTCGGCCAGCAGAGTGACCACATCCTTGTGGTCATCCAGGAGCTGCTGCACCAGCTTACTGTAGCGAGCTTCCATCTCCTGGTCCTTGATCTGAGAAACAGACGACGCAGAGTGAAATCCATTCGAATTTGACCATTATCAAAATCAGAGCTGGGATGAATGCCATTCTTATTCCGGTCAGATGAATTGGTCAATTTCTCCACTAGGATAAAATATACTTTGCAGAAGTGGCTTGAATCAACTGTTTATCTATTACGCACACACACACACACACACACAGTGCCTTTGGAAAGTATTCACCCATCTACACACAATACCCAATAATGACAAAGATAAAACATGTTTTGAACATTTAATGAAAATGAAACAGAAAGATCTCATTTACATAACTATTTACATTTTACTACATTTTCAAGTCTTGCCATAGATTTAAGCCAAAACTGTAACTCGGCCACTCAGGAAAATTCAATGTCAGCTTGGTAAGCAACTCCAGTGGATATTTGGCCTTGTGTTTTAGGTTATGGTCCTGCTGAAAGGTGAATTCGTCTCCCAGTGTCTGTTGAAAAGCACAAAACCAGATTTTCCCCCTAGGACTTTGCCTGTGCTTAGCTCTATTCCTTTTCTTTTTACCCCCCCCCCCCCCAAAAAAAAACTCCCTATTCCTTGCCGATGATAAGCATACCCATAACATGATGCAGCCACCACCATGCTTAAAAATATATATAGAGTGGTACTCATTGATGTTGTATTAGCCCCAAACATAACGCTTTGTATTCAGGACAAAGTTCACTTCGTTGCCACATTTTTTGCAGTTTTACTTTAGTGCCTTATTGCAAACAGGATGAATGTTTTGGAATATATTTTTTTTTTCTGTATAGGCTTCCTTCTTTTCGCGGTTTCATTTAGATTAGTATTGTGGAGTAACTACAATGCCGTTGATCCATCCTCAGTTTTAGCCCATCACAGCCATTAAACTTTGTAACTGTTTGAAAATCACCATTGGCCTCTAGGTGAAATTCCTGAGCGGTTTCCTTACTCTCCGGCAATGGAGTTAGGAAGGACGCCTGTATCTTTGTAGTGACTGGGTGTATCGATACACCATCCAAAGTGTAATTAATGACTTCACCATGCTCAAAGGGATATTCAATGTCTGCTTTTTTTGGGGGTTTACCCATCTACCAATAGGGGCCTTTCTTTGTGAGGAATTGGACAACCTCCCTGGTCTTTGTGGTTGAATCTGTGTTTGAAATTCACTGCTCATACTTTCAGATAATTGTATGTTGGTTTACAGAGATGAGGTAGTCCTTCAAAAATCATGTTAAACACTATTGAACACAAAGTGAGTACATGCAACTTATGTGATGTTAAACAAATGTTTACCCCTGAACTTATTTAGGCTTGCCATAACAAAGGGGTTGAATACTTGACTGAAGACATTTCAGCTTTTGATTTCTAATTAATTTGTAAACATTTCTAAAAAGATAATTCCACTTTGACATTATGGGGTATTGTGTGTAGGCCAGCAACAAAATCTGAATTTAATCAATTTTAAATTCAGGCTGTAACACTTTCTAAAGTATTCAGACCCCTGGACCTTTTTCAAATTTTGTTACGTTACAGCCTTATTCTAAAATTGATTACATAGTTTTCCCCCCCCTCATCTACACACAATACCCCATAATGACAAAGCAAAAACAGATTGGTAGACATTTGATGATTTATTACAAATAAAAAAACAGAAATATCACATTTACATAAGTATTCAGACCCTTTACTCAGTACATTGTTGAAGCATCTTTGGCAGCGATTACAGCCTCGAGTCTCCTCGAGTCTACACACCTGTATTTGGGGAGTTTCTCACATTCTTCTCAGCAGATCCTCTCAAGCTCTGGCTGGGCCACTCAAGGACATTGAGACTTGTCCCGAAGCCACTCCTGCATTGTCTTGGCTGTGTGCTTAGGGTCGTTGTCCTGTTGGAAAGTGAACCGGTTTTCATCAAGGATCTCTCTGTACTTTGCTCTGTTCATCTTTGCCTCGATCCCGACTAGTCTCCCAGTCCCTGCGGCTGAAAAAGATCCCCACAGCATGATGCTGCCAACACCATGCTTCACCGTAGGGATGGTGCCAGGTTTCCTCCAGACGTGATGCTTGGCTTTCAGGCCAAAGAGTTCAATCTTGGTTTCATCAGACCAGAGAATTTTGTTTCTCATGGTCGTAGAGTCTTTAGGTGCCTTTTGGCAAACTCCAAGCGGGCTGTCATGTGCCTTTTCCTGAGGAGTGGCTTCCGTCTGGCCACTCTACCATAAAGGCCTGATTGGTGGAGTGCTGCAGAGATGGTTGTCCTTCTGGAAGGTTCTCCCATCTCCACAGAGGAATTCTGGAGCTCTGTCAGAGTGACCATCAGATTCTTGGTCACCTCCCTGACCAAGGCCCTTCTCCCCCGATTGCTCAGTTTGGCCGGGAAGCCAGCTCTAGGAAGGGTCTTGGTTGTTCCAAACTTCTTCCATTTAAAAATGATGGAGGCCACTGTGTTCTTGGGGACCTTCAATGCTGCAGACATTTTTTGGTACCCTTCCCCAGATCTGTGCCTCGATAGAATCCTGTCTCGGAGCTCAACGGACAATTATTTCGACCTCACGGCTTGGTTTTTGCTCTGACATGCACTGTCAACTGTGGGACCTTATATAGACAGGTATGTGCCTTTCCAAATCATGTCCAATCAATTTAATTTATCCCAGGTGGACTCCAATCAAGTTGTAGAAACATCAAGGATGTTCAATGGAAACAGGATGCACCTGAGCTCTATTTCGAGTCTCATAGCAAAGGGTCTGAATACTTATGTAAATAAGGTATGTTTTTTTAAATCTAATACATTTGCAAAAAAATCAAAAAAACTGTTTTTACTTTGTCATTATGGGATATTGTTTGTAGATTGCTGATTTAAAAAAAATATTTAATCAATTTTAGAATAAGGCAACAAAAAGGTGGAAAAAGTCAAGGGGTCTGAATACTTTCCGAAGGCACTCACACAGATCTACATTTTAGTCATTTAGCAGACGCTCTTATCCAGAGCGACTTACAGGAGCAATTAGGGTTAAGTGCCTTGCTCAAGGGCACATCAACAGATTTTTCACCTAGTCGGCTCGGGGATTAGAACCAGCGACCTTTCGGTTACTGGCACAACGCTCTTAACCACACTTCAACCATTTCGAGACCCATACAACCATTTAAAAAATATATATAACTAGATATAGTCTAGAAGTAGCTAGAACTTTTCCTTAATTATCTCAGCTGGATTTGTTACAATTCCTGCAAAAATAACAATAAAAACATCAATTCAAAATATTATAATTTTCATCCAAACAATGATACTTTCAGTCAAAGAAATACATTAGGTGAGTGCCACCGTTACCCAATGTTCTTGAACTTGGGATTTCATTTGAAGTCATTGTCATATAAACTCAGCAAAAAAAGAAAACTTCCCCTTTTCAGGACCCTGTTTTTCAAAGATAATTCGTAAAAATCCAAATAACTTCACAGATCTTCATTGTAAAGGGTTTAAACACTGTTTCCCATGCTTGTTCAATGAACCATAAAAAATTAATGAACATGCACCTGTGGAACGGTCGTTAAGACACTAACAGCTTACAGACGGTAGGCAATTAAGGTCACAGTTATGAAAACTTAGGACACTAAAGAGGCCTTTCTGCTGACTCTGAAAAACACCAAAAGAAAGATGCCCAGGGTCCATGCTCATCTGCGTGAACGTGCCTTAGGCATGCTGCAAGGAGGCATGAGGACTGCAGATGAGGCCTGGGCAATAAATTGCAATGTCCGTCCTGTGAGACACCTAAGACAGCGCTACAGGGAGACAGGACGGACAGCTGATCGTCCTTGCAGTGGCAGACCATGTGTAACAACACCTGCACAGGATCTGTACATCCGAACATCACACCTGCGGGACAGGTACAGGATGGCAACAACAACTGCCCGAGTTACACCAGGAATGCACAATCCCTCCATCAGCACTCAGACTGTCCGCAATAGGCTGAGAGGCGCTGGACTGAGGGCTTGTAGGCCTGTTGTAAGGCAGGTCCTCAACAGACATCACCGGCAACAACGTCGCCTATGGGTACAAACCCACCGTCGCTGGACCAGACAGGACTGGCAAAAAGTGCTCTTCACTGACGAGTCTCGGTTTTGTCTCACCAGGGGTGATGGTCGGATTTGCGTTTATCGTCGAAGGAATGAGCGTTACACCGAGGCCTGTACTCTGGAGCGGGATCGATTTGGAGGAGGAGGGTCCATCATGGTCTGGGGCGGTGTGTCACAGCATCATCGGACTGAGCTTGTTGTCATTACAGGCAATCTCAACGCTGTGCGTTACAGGGAAGACATCCTCCTCCCTCATGTGGTACCCTTCCTGCAGGCTCATCCTGACATGACCCTCCAGCATGACAATGCCACCAGCCATACTGCTCGTTCTGTGCGTGATTTCCTGTAAGACAGGAATGTCAGTGTTCTGCAATGGCCAGCGAAGAGCCCGGATCTCAATCCCATTGAGCACGTCTGGGACCTGTTGGATCGGAGGGTGATGGCGAGGGCCATTCCCCCCAGAAATGTCCGGGAACTTGCACGTGCCTTGGTGGAAGAGCGGGGTAACATCTCACAGCAAGAACTGGCAAATCTGGTGCAGTCCATGAGGAGGATATGCACTGCAGTACTTAATGCAGCTGGTGGCCACATCAGATACTGACTGTTACTTTTGATTTTGATTTTGACCCCCCCTTTTTTCAGGGACACATGATTCCATTTCTGTTAGTCACATGTCTGTGGAACTTGTTCAGTTTATGTCTCAGTTGTTGAATCTTGTTATGTTCATACATATATTTACACATGTTAAGTTTGCTGAAAATAAACGCAGTTGACAGTGAGAGGACGTTTCTTTTTTTGCTGTGTTTATATAGCAGAGCACCCAGCTAATAAAGCGAGATAGTGCACCTGTTACCCACTCCACAAACACAGTCAGCCTGGAGGTGTCAGGCCAGTCTGACAGCCTCTCCAGTTCCAGAGACTGGGACAGAGATAAATATGGAAGCCCTGAGGGTCAAGCGCTTGAACTTGGCCAACCCAACCTACTCCTCAGTGTGGCTGTTTGACTACTTACCACTGGGAAATCGCACAACACGTGGTAGGCTCGAATGTAGAGCTCATGCTGCAGGAGAGGGAAACAGAGAGTGGGTGTTGGTTAGAATTCCCTCTGAGAACTCTTAGGTAAGAGGAACCTCCCATGCCACCATAAGTGGGCCACAACACATCCCATGGGCGAACGTGTCCTGGCCTATGTTCCAAGAACAGAGAGGATGTTTAAGAGGTTATAGCCTTCCAATATGACTCAATTGCACAACTGCTCAAATCCTAAGTAATTGTTTGAGTGAATTAGTAATATTACCACTTCTAAAAAAACAAAAACAGAATGTACAGTAATTTGTGCATCACTGGTTATGTGTTTTTGGTAGGAGAATATTCTGAGAAAGCACTAGGCCTACAGGTATACATCCCTTGTACGACTGATCGTGCATTCCAGGCACAATTTCATTTGCACAAAATACCTCTGTGCTGTGTGAGAAAAATCTAGGCAAAAGTTAATCTAGTGTCAAGACGCTCAGGTGAAGTAAATAGGCCATGGGAAGGGAGGAGAGAAGAGATGCCAAAGGGAGGAGTAGAAAAGGTTTCATAACACTGCACATGGCAGCTAAAGAACAAAGGAAAGCCTCCAATGTCACAGATGGCCTGTCTTTTCAACTCTAGCTCTATAGGAGAAGAACTTTCTGGGTATGCTGATAGACAAATGACTTAATCGAATTGATTAAAGTTCTGTAGGCATAGAGAGATGGGGTTTTGTTTGTTACATGATAAAGAAGCCCTTCTCATGAATTTAGGAAGCTAAGCGTTGCAGCTAAGCTAATAAATGCTAGCAGAGTCGTGTAACAAGTCCATTCTCAATTAATGGCTGTTCAAGGTTAGTCTATTTTGATAGGCACAGTGGCACTGACTCAATTATGTTTCTGACACCTGTCGAGCACATGCCCTCCTCTCCCAGACAAGCACAATGATTGGAATGAGAGGCTTGTCCCGCAAGTTGCAAAGGGGCCGTTACTGCACCATAATATATTATAATAATAATAAGCCATTTAGCAGACGCTTTTATCCAAAGCGACTTACAGTCATGTGTGCATTTTTACGTATGGGTGGTCCCGGGGATCGAACCCACTACCCTGGCGTTTCAAGCGCCATGCTCTACCAATTGAGCTACAGAGGACCACCAGAAAGGTAAACCAGACATGTTGACAAAGAGAAGCAGCAAAGAGAGAGAAACCATCATCAAGGGGGAGAAAGGGAGAGAAAGACAAAGAAAAAACCTGAAGGGACTCACCACTTGCAGGACGGTGGGGTTGCAGCCAATGATGAAGGGAAGGCTGCGGAAGCCCTTGATACGGTGGGCAATGCGCACAGGCAACTCCTTGTGCAGGTACTTGGCACTACTCTACAAACACACACAGACAGGATGGAAGGGTGAGACACACCGCAGACAATACAGAGCAAGGCAAAGTGATCTCAATGACTAGGCTAAAAAAGGAATCCCCTTGCGCTTTGAACTTCACTACCACTCAAACCAGTTTTACACCAGAAAAATTATCAGATATGACCCTGGTTATTTAGAGTAGTATAGTCTTGTCAAATTATATTTCCAGTGATAGAGTGCTACACGTAAATGCTAGCTCTCAAGATGACATTACTAAAGCAGCATAGGGGGAAAATAAACAGATATCGGACCAATAGTTTACTCTACGGAACACTATCAAATATAGATAAGAGGAATCACTTATTAAGTTACCTTAAAAGCAGTCATCAATCCAGCAGACAAAGCATGTCTAAGGCCTATTATGATGAGAACTAACCATACAATATGGTCCAAAGACTGGACAGAGGAGTGGTCAGTTACCAGGACGTGGTTTCCATCCGGAGACTTCCCAGCGTAGAGCAGGGTGGCTGGTGTCAGTCGGACTGAGGCCTGGGGAGAGAGGAGAAAAACAGTTGGAGGAAATCCACTAAACCAGACCTACAATATTAGATACAAGCAGACAACACTGTAGTGTAAATTCATGAGAGCTGGATTACGGACACAAGAACCCAATCACCCAAGAACAATGAGTTTTGCCAACATCTGCACGTAAGGTGTGTGTGACTGTCAGCAAACTAAATCAGGGACTGGTTGCGGTGTGCTACTGAGAGAGAAACCCTTAGCAAGTAGGCTTGGGCAGTATACTGTACTGTATATACAGTTTTCAATACCACCATTTTGGTTGTTATTTTTCAATAAATACCTGCAGTCAACTTACGCACTGGGTAAAAGGGATACTTGGGGATTTTCGCAATCTACTTCCCCAGAGTCAGATGAACTCGTGGATACCATTTATGTGTCACGTATGAAGGAAGTTAGGGGTAGTTTCATGAGCAAGTGCTAACTAGCGTTATGACTGAAAGTCTATGGGTATCTACTAGTATGCTAGCAGATACCCATAGACTTAGTCATTGCGCTAACACTAGCAATTGCGCTAGTTAGCAACTTCCTTCAAACTGCACGCAAAGACATAAAAACGGTATCCACGAGTTCATCTGACTCTGGGAAGTAGATAAAGGGCCTCATTGCCAAAATCCCAAAGTATTCCTTCAATAGATAAAACAGATCATGTTCTTCATTTTCGCCTGTTGCATTATTTCTTCATTATGAAGCCGTTCCCCAAAGCAGCGGATTGAGCCAGTCTCATGGTATGACCTGACGATCCACAGTTGTGCAGCGCAAGAGGTGATCAAGTTAGAATTAAAATTCTCTGTTTGCCAGCTAAATATCTTTAACTTACTTAAGTTCTCTAATCTTCTTGCTTACAGCAGAGAATCAATCCCCTCCTGGACAAAAATCCCAGCTGTCTAGTATTTGTTTTGTGCGTGCAGCAAACCTTTTGAGATAACCTTTTGTACAACTTTATGAGCTGGGGTGTGACATGTCTGTCCTTGCAATTTGTTTATATTCGCTTCAACTTGTTAGCATTTACAGTGCCTTCAGAAAGTATTCACACCCCTTGACTTATTCCACATTTTGTTGCGTTAGAGCCTGAATTTTAAATTGATTAAATTGAGATTGTGTCACTGGCCTACACACAATACCCCATAAATGTCAATGTGGAATTATGTTTTTACAAATTAAAAAAGAAAAGCTATACTTTAAGTTTCAACTCCTTTGTTATGGCAAGCCTAAATAAGTTCAAGAGTAAAAATGTGACTAACAAAACATAATAAGTTGCTCTGTATGCAATAAGTGTTTAACATGATTTTTGAACGACTACCTCATCTCTGTACCCCACACATACAATTATCTGTAAGATCCCTCAGTTGAGCAGTGAATTTCAAACACAGATTCAACCACAAAGAAAGGCACCTATTGGTAGATGGGTAAAACTAAAAACACAGTTAGAGTTTAATGGCTGTGATAGGAGAAAACAGAGGATGGATCAACAACATTGTAGTTACTCAACAAAACTAACCTAATTGACAGAGTGAAAAGGAGGAAGCCTGTACAGAACAAAAATATTCCAAAACATGCATCCTGTTTGCATGCAATAAGGCACAAAAGTATTATTGCAAAAAATGTGGCTAAGATTAACTTTATGTCCTGAATACAAAGCGTTATGTTTGGGGCAAACACATCATGGAGTACCACTCTTCATATTTTCAAGCATGGTGGTGGCTGCATCAGTTTATGAGTATGCTTGTCATCTGCAATGAGTAAGGAGTTGAATATAAAAATAAACAGAATAGAGCTAAGCACAGGCAAAATCCTAGAGGAAAACTTGGTTGTTTGCTTTCCAACAGACACTGGGAGACAAATTCACCTTTCAGCAGGACCATAACCTAAAACACAAGGCCAAATATCCACTGGAGTTGCTTACCAAGACAACATTGAATCTTCCTGAGTGGCCTAGTTACAGTTCTGACTTAAATCAGCTTGAAAATCTATGGCAAGACTTGAAAATGGCTGTCTAGCAATGATCAACAACCAACTTGACAGAGCTTAAAGAATTTAACAGAAATTTGCAAATACTGTACAATCCAGGTGTGCAAAGCTCTGAGACTTACCCAGAAAGACTCACAGCTGTAATCACTACCAAAGGTGATTCTAACATGTATTGACTCAGGGTGTGAATATTTATGTAAATGAAATTTGCAAAAATGTCTAAAAACAAGTTTTCACTTTGTCATTATGGGGTAATGTGTGTAGATATGTGAAAAATATTTTGTATCCATTTTGAATTAAGGCTGTAAACAACAAAATGTGGAATAAGTCAAGGGGTATAAATAATTTCGGAAGGCACTGTAGCTAGCGTCCGCTATGGGAATAGTGTTTTTACGTTTGGAAAGAAAGTGTGCCCCCTTGTATGTACTGCCAGTAATTAGTGTTGTCGCGATACCAGAATTTTGACTTAGATACCAGGTTTAATATCATGATACCATCACAATACCAAAACGATTTGTTTAATCGTTGGGCATCTTTTGAGTTAAATATCATTACGTCAAACATTCAGAGAGCCATGTAAGCATTAACTAATCAATTATACAATCAATTGGACTTTGTTTTTACCAAACTAAGTAACGGTAATCATTTATTTGAACGGTAAATCCATTGATAAACTGGGTAAATCAGGATGTAACCTAGGCCAATTCACAATACAGATAAATGCATATTCATTCAATAGGAGTGTGTGCATGCATTTAGTTAATTGTTTTGGCCGATTTCATGGGGCTACAGATGCAACAATCGATTTGGTGCGATTCGGTTTGAGGTATGCTATGTAGGCACCTGATCTGAGCCACCAGGGAGACTAGGCATCTACCACCCCACTACCAGATAAGGGGAAATGGAGCCTGTTTGTCCCCCCCCCCCCCCCATTTTGGTTTTGAAATCACTGCCACCCACTAATTAAACTTGTCATTTTTGCAGATCAAGTGTTTGAGCTAGTAATGTATCAAAATGTATTGTTTACAAATTATCTATAACATAGCCAATGAATATATAGAACAACTTTGGATTTCACCCCCCGTCTGCATTTCTGAAACGTTATGTTACCTGTGTAATATTGAATTAAGTTCATAACCACTTGTGTTTCAAACATGATGTTTTATCAATTGTGGTGCTGATCAGTTCATTACCTATCAAAATAATATGTCGCTTAAAGTTAATAATACACATTAACAACAGGCTTATATCTAAAAATACATAGACACATTTTATTAACAATTATATTAAATTATGTATACATAATTTTAATAGCAGGACACTGTAAAGTCTATTATCCCTCTGAAGAGTATGAATTAGGCTGTTTGAGAAGGTTTGAATCCTAAGCAACTTGCCTACACATACCTTTTTATATACAGTACCAGTCAAAAGTTTGGACACTCCTACTCATGCAATGGTTTTTCTTTATTTTTACTATTTTCTACATTGTAGAATAATAGTGAAGACATCAAAACTATGAAATAACACCTATGGAATCATGTAGTAACCAAAAAAGTGTTAAACAAATCAAAATATATTTTATATTTGAGATTCTTCAAATAGCCACCCTTTGCCTTGATCACAGCTTTGCACACTCTTGGCATTCCCTCAACCAGCTTCATGAGGTAGTCAACTGGAATGCATTTCAATTAACAAGTGTGCCTTCTTAAAAGTTACTTTGTGGAATTTCTTTCCTTCTTAATGCGTTTGCCAATCAGTTGTGTTGTGACAAGGTAGGGGGGGTAAACAGAAGACAGCCCTATTTGGTAAAAGACCAAGTCCATATTATGGCAAGAACAGCTCAAATAGGCAAAGAGAAACGACAGTCCATCATTACTTTAAGACATGAACGTCAGTCAATACGGAACATTTCAAGAACTATGAAAGTTTCTTCAAGTGCAGTCGCAAAAACCATCAAGCGCTATGATGAAACTGGCTCTCATGAGGACCACCACAGGAATGGAAGACCCAGAGTTACCTCTGCTGCAGAGGATACGTTCATTAGAGTTACCAGCCTCAGAAATTGCAGCCCAAATAAATGCTTCATGGAATTCAAGTAACAGACACAACTCAACATCAACTGTTCAGAGGGGACTGTGTGAATCAGGCCTTCATGGTCGAATTGCTGCAAAGAAACCACTACTAAAAAGGACACCAATAAGAAGAGACCTGCTTGGGCCAAGAAACACGAGCAATGGACATTAGACCGGTGGAAATTTGTCCTTTGGATTTTTGGTTCCAACAGCCGTGTCTTTGTGAGACGTGGTGTTGGTGAACGGATGATCTCCGCATGTGTATTTCCCACCGTAAAGCATGGAGGAGTTGGTGTTATGGTGTGGGGGTGCTTTGCTGGTGACACTGTCTGTGAATTATTTAGAATTCAAGGCACACTTAACCAGCATGGCTACCACAGCATTCTGCAGCGATACGCC